CCCTTGCGGGTGCGCCCGGTCGGGCGGGTTGTCCGAGGCGCCCGCCGCGCTTCCCGCTCTGCCGCCTCGCGCCTCTGCTTAGACCTGTTGCTCAGGTACTGTCGAAGCGTGCGGGTGTTGCCAGAGGGAAAACCCCAAATCCAGAAAAGGCGCAACAGTACTGACGTTGGGTGCCTTTTGGGACAACGTGCGCTTGAGTCGTACCTGGCCTTAAACCTGCGGGACTCGGTAGGCTGCGTCCTTGGCGTTCGTGCCACGGCCCCCGTCTGGCTGGTGCCAGAAAGAGAAACGTTTCCCCGTAGATCTGCGTTTTATTCTGAAAGCTGGTTTCACCCGACCTTACAATCTAGTAGACTTCTGACAGCCTGGACGGGCGTGAAGGGTTTTCCAAGGTTCGGAGTTACTGCCTGACTTGAGCTCTCGGCTCGCAGGCGAGGAAGGTGAGCGGATTTCCTGGTAAGCGGTGACCCCGGAGTTGTTCACTGCTAGGACAACGTAGCCTGCGTGGGTCAGCCTCGGGTCGTGGCCCTGTCGAGGTGCCTTCGTTACTGTTTCGGTTAGAAAGGGGTAGTGTTGTGTACTCAATCGTTAGACATACTGTTAGGTAAGGACCAGTTAACGTTTACCGCAGGGAAGAAGCAAAAGGTTCCTGGAGTACTAAGTGTTGTTACTGTAAAAGCAGTTTAAAGAAAAAAACTCTGAAAAAATATAAAGAATTTTATATTTTTTATATATACTTACTGCAATTTGTTTTGACCCTTAAAACACCACACAGATTAAAGGGTGTATTTGGAGAGATTAACACACTGTTGGGTGTTACAAGATCAAAATTCGTGGTGTGGGTAACTTAGGGTGTCAGAAAGGGTGTCTGGTTAGAGTTAGATCTCTAGTGCTCATGGCAGGCTGCCTGTCCTCTCTGTAAATATATACCTGTGTCTGTGCACCTGTGTCCTCTCTATAAAATTTGTTAAAAGCTATATTTTTCCTGCTGTATGTGATTATCCCAATTTTTATGTACGTAGACACTGGTGTGTTTATGTTACTGTCAGGGGGATGTCCAAAGCTGGAGTCACATACTTCTATGAAGGAGTTTAGGAAGAAAGATACCACGCAATATCTTGATTTAGTCCTTGGTCCTGCCATTCATAAATGTGCAGGTGGACTTTTCTTATCGCTTTGTAGATACAACTGTCTGTTTATGCACTGTGAACTGCATAATTTGGCCTTTATTAGGAGACAAAATTTGAATTTAATGCAATTTGGGGGGGCTTATGGGTCACTGGGAGTAAAGAATAGGAATGAGCATGTAAAGATACATGGAAAAACTTAAATATGGACAGCTAGGAAATGTTATCGGAACCATTGTGTCCTTACAGAATACAGATATAGGGCTACATATTTATTTGCATATATTTATGCCGTACGAAGTGTCATAAATAATGATGAAGCTTTTGATATTCAAAAGTGTTTAAAGCCTTTTGCGTTTTGTTCAGTAGCTATCTCAGTCCAGGATAGATCATAGGATGAGATTACAATATTTAAAGGATCTCTCTCTAAACCTCCTGTGAAGTGCCTGTGGGAACCTGGACAAAACACTTGCAAAAATAGCCCATGCCTCAATTTTTATATAATTAACATAACATGAACTTGTGTAAGGCAGTTTGCTAAGTCCTTTTTGCTGTCCTTTGATGATGATGATGATGATTTCCTGTCTTTTTTTGCTTTTCAATTATCTCTGTTTTAAAAAGCGTAATGTATTTGGGGTCATTCTCTTAAAATTAGAACTTGAAACAAGAGATTTAAATAACTGACTTCTCTTTGTTCTAGAAAAAGTTCTTGAAGTTAACACAGTTTCAATGCCTTTTCGTTTCCCATTCCAGACCCTACTTTATTTCAGCTGACAATTCCAAAGTGAGTGGAAGAAGAACACGTGATCTCTTGTGCATGTGCGTAATATTTATGACCATTGTGCGGAGTTTGCTAATGGGAATTTTGTGGTTTAAAAGGAATGGGTTGCTTATTTAAAAAATACTGTCATTATTTGATTATTCTTTCATTAAAAATGTTTCTGCTCTTTTTTTTTCCCTCTCAGTTTTGCTTTACATTGCAAATTCCTTCAGAAGAGGAGGAAGGAGAGATCTCACTTCTGAGAGCACATGTTGATTCAGATGTCACATCTAGAGAGAGCTATGCTGTCAGTTGTCCTGAAGTTCCTTTTCAGACTACGTCATTGTGTCACTCTACAGTCCTTGTAACTGCTACATACTGCAAAAGGAGAGCTGACTGATTCCTGCCCTGCTCAGGGACCGGTTTCTGTGTGCTTTTGTTTGCCAGTTGGAAGTTGTTCCTTCGCTAGCGTGCTTTAAAAAAAAAAAAAAAACAAGTTTGAGGTGCTCTTCAGAGAAGCAAATGATTCGTGCCAGCCATGTCACTAGCTGAACGGGTTTCACAGCCCTCTGACTCTGTAGGCCTCTGTTACTAGTCACACTGGGAACTCTTGACCTACGACGTTGATGTTGAGCGTTTTGTGTTTTAAGGTTTTGAGGAAAATGCAGAGACGGCATAGCAGCAACACTGACAGTGTTCCTCCTGAAAGGTAAATCTTTTTTTCTTGCTTTTCTCTCCCGTTTTCCTCTCTAGAAAGCAGTATTCTGATTTAATTGTATGGTGTGTTTCATAGTTTTAGAACACAAAAGCTCAGAAGTCAGGAAAGTCTATACTTCCTATATATGTAATGGGGCTAGGCTTTTTGCTTGAGTTTAGGGATAGGTTGACTTTTCTCCTTCATGTCATTTTTTGGCTGCTGACAACTGCAGCATTTCAGATTCAGTGATCCAGTATGGCACATCCTACCCCATAATCCTTACAGCTGGCTTAGCACAGGAAGGATATTTTGCCTTATGGAGCTCTGGAAGAGAGATTCATGGTACAGTCCTGTGGGGATCCTGAGTGCTGTCCATCTGAAAGGATCAATCTGTACAGACAGAGGCTCTTATTGTAAAGGTGTTCAAAAAGCCTGTCAGTCTGAAGCTCCCAATGAGTATGACTCAATATATTATAAAGATTTTGGATAATCCTTTACATCATCCCAGAATCTGTATCTAGCTTCACATATGTAAATATTTTAAAGTAGAATGCCCTTAATTCATTATTGTAATTACGACATCAGTAAAAGCAGGCTTGGCACTGTTGTTGTTCTGGTACTAAATATTCCCTTGTGCTTTCACAGGACTAGTGCTTGGTTTTTGTTGTTGTTGTTCTCCTCCCCCCGCCTTAAATTTTGGTGAAGAACCAAGTTCTGCAATCCAAAATTGCATGAACAAACAAATTTCATTGCTGTGGCTGAGCTGAGGTAGTAAGTGAGAGGGTCTGATCACAAGCAGCCACTAAATATTTCTTAGTGTGTTTTGCAGGTAGAGGTGAAGGTTGATGTCATGGCCACTTCTAGCATGGTGCCCCTCTTAGTTTCAGGGCAGAAGAAAGCCATCTTGAACTCACGTTCACCATGATTCTGCCCGAGCCTCAGTGCGGTCTATGGGGTTCATACCACCAAGCAAGCCTGGAGCTTGAGAGGCACATGAAATATTGTGTGGACCCTCTCAACTGTGGTATAGAGCACTTTGAGTCAGTACAAACTTTTATGGCACTTCAGGATTTGTTTGAATGGCTAAAAATATTCAGGATAGGTATTTATTATCAAAGGCAAAAGATTAGCAGCATAATGTCGATTGGTCTTCATAAACACCTCAATATTTTACTTGGTAAATACATATTGTCTGTAAGATGGGCTGAAGGCATTCTAGCTGTAGAATGAAATTCAGGTACTGCTAACGACATGTCTTCACTTCGGGGGACCTTTAGCAGAATCATAATTTTAGCTGTGTTTATCCATTTCCAAGTATGTGCCTGATGGATTCCTTCCTGCAGAAAGCATAGTCATGTATCCTGCTAGTATTGTTCCAAGTAATGTTGGTATGTTTGTCTGTAATGCTGAGTTCCACCCAATAGGTTTTACATGTTCCCGGATGTAAGGGCAGATCTGTCAGTTTATATCCCTGTCTTGTGTATACATCCCAGAATTGTAACGTTAGGCGTAAAATCCAAGATCTGGTTGATGAATATTTTGAACTAGAGAGGGGAGCGCAGTATCCTGTTGACTTGATTCCTTGCTGGAGCCTGTGGAGAGACATTGGGAATGGGGTGGGGCTATGAAAAGCCTGATTAGGAGTTTGTGTAGTGGGAAGGTATGCCCGGAGAGGGTTGAAGCTAATTCCGGAGTGAGATGAAAGACAGTGCTCTGCGCCTTGTAAGATGCCTGGGGAGGCTTTTGAGCTCATGAGAGAGAGAGGGTTAAGGGCTCTGTATGTGCCTGCTTGTGCTATCTCAGCTTGTGACCACTATTTCTAAAGTTAGAGATCTCCAGGGACTGAAATCAAGAGAGACTGGAGCTGTGCAGCACGTGTCTTATTTGTGGGCTTTGCCTCTTGCTGAGTTTTTTTTAAGCTTTATTCTTTTGCTGTTTAGAGAAGTATTTGCCGTCTGCCAGGTGTTCTACTGCCTAATGATTGTTCTGCTTATTACCTACATTGTTTCCCTTTGGTCCAAACTTTCTGTGTATTCATTTCACTACCACAATACTAAGTTCAGGTGAACAGAGCGTATTTTCTATTCGTATTAGGATAGAGATATCCGTGACTTGGAATCTGGCTGTGAGCTATCGCACAGGCTCAGGAGAGAATCCGTGCCAGATCTATTTCTGTGCAGCGCCCAGTAAATTGGGTACCACCATATCAAATTTGCTGATAATATAAAAATAAAACAATTTGTCTCTCTTGGCCCATGAGCACGTTCTTCGCGTATGATTTTGGGTCAGGGACGCACAAGCAGTTCTCAGTGCTCCTCTTCCCCAGTTACCTCTCTCTCTCATTTGTGTTACTCAGTGGCAGGCAAGTGGCGATCATCCCTAAATAAAGAAGGATGAACTTGGGGGCAGGTCGTTTCTTTGAGTTAGTCTGATTAACTTATTTGCATATGATGTGGTCTCTCTTGATGGCACCGTGTGAAATTATGTTGTTTTATATATGCTGTCCATTTAATATTAAAATCATTATAGAAGATGTTGAATTTGGCATCGGATAAATTATTTCTTTGCTTCCTCCAAAAATAAAGGGGACTTTTGGGAACTCTCTGATCCTTAGATGAAGGAGCTGATGTGTTTTGACCAGCCGTTTAGAAGTGCTCTGACCTTATCTCAGATATCTAGCTGCAGGCTTCTAGCTCTGAACTTTCCAATAGCAAATAGAGTGCCAAGTTTCTGTCATCTGGAGACCTACGTATTCTGACACAATGGAGCAGCTCCTAATTGACAAGAGTCAGGAGTGGGCTAAAGGGCTGAGTTGTTCTGCAGCACTGATTTTTATTTAGTCACCATTCTTTCGTGTCCTTCCATTACAGAAACCGGAGCCAAACAGTCAGTTCTGAAACCAGTGTGGATGAAAGTGGAGTCTTTGAAAGTCTGAAGGCTGAAGCTTCCTCGCCACAACAGCTGTTCTCAGGCCTGGCAGGTATCCCTTCGGGCACCATCACAGCCACCCCGTTCCAGGAAGTATTCATTCAGATGCCAGCCCCGAGGGAGGAGGGGACCAGCCGTACAGAAGGAACCCCATTTCACCACCGGCAGCAGCCCCATCATTTCCACCATGGCCATCACAGAGGTTCGTCTCTACTGCACATGGCAGGAGGGGACCGCCATGGGCACGCCGAGGAAGGCAGTGATGAACAGGCTGGGACTCCAGCCCCAGCACTTTCAGAGTTAAAGGCTGTGATCAGTTGGCTGCAGAAGGGCCTTCCCTTCATCTTGATCCTTCTGGCTAAAGTTTGTTTCCAGCATAAGCTTGGTAAGCATCTATCCTTTTTTGGTTAGAGGGCTATTACAATGTGGTTAGGAAGCTATATCTTGCCATGATGTCCAACACATTTATCCCTGTGACTGTATCTAGAGGTAGTCTAGCATGAAGGGGACATATGCAAATGGATGGGGTAACCAGCTCCTCTTTCTCACCCTACTTTTAATTCAAGCAGTTATTAGCTGGGTCAGGCCCATGATCTGCTTCCTGTCCTGACTTATGGGAGATCAGTTCTTTACCATTTTTTGTCATTAGGGCAGAGCGTCTGTGTTGGGATGGGTGGGAATTTTTATGCATGTATGCGCTACAGTAGCTTCATTTTGAATTAGTTTGAATTTGAACTTTATATGAGTCCAGATTGCCCTGTTTTAGTGACCTACAGATTTTAGTTCCCAGTGAATCCAGAATATCATCCACTTAATTTTTTTCTAAGCTCAGGTGCTGACATCAAATGGTTTAGGAGTGAAGATCCTCCTGCCCAGCCTTATATGCTCTGATAGTGTCTTTCCTTGCAGGGATTGCTGTGTGCATTGGTATGGCCAGCACATTCGCATATGCCAACTCAACACTCCGTGAGCAGGTTGCTCTGAAGGTGAGTACAGTATCTTGCTCTGTGATGCTCTCAACTGACATTGCATGCAAATTAATATCGATGTTGAACCTTCTCTTGCACTTTAGGGATGAATACCATTAAAGGGATACAGATTTGTTAGAATAAGGCTACTTTTCCTCATTCATGCTCTCCCACAGCTTCTATCCTGCTGTTTTTTGAAAGTTTGACATAATAAAAGGAGGGAGAGGAAAAGCCAGGGGAACTGTAATTTGCTTCTGGCTCTGCCACAGACTGGAAGTGCATCTTCAAGTACTTTTCTGTACCTCAGTTTCCCATTATGTACAGCAGAAGTGATGAAATCCATTTCGCTAGCTTATGATGAGATTTAATTTATTATCATTTAGATAATGTTTTGAGATGTTCAGCTGAAAGGATTTCTAGATGTATTAGCCATCACTGTCTTTTTAATGCTGTCTTAATACCGCGCTTAGAATAGAAAGAAACCAGCAGATTTTCTCAGGCCTTATGATTTTCAGTGTCAGCAGAATACGCCAGCAGCACTACAAGCACATGACTAGAATTGCTTTTCTGTAGAAATGGCATGGGTGGCACAAACGTGTGCTTATATGTACCAGCAGCAGTGAAATAAATGTGATACAATGCTGAATAAGCAGATAAATTGCACAATCATGTAACAGATTGTTGTTGCCTTGCACTTTGCACCTCTGTCTTGCCAGCAGCGTGCCCATTAATCCGCCAGCTTTAAATCCTAACCTAACATCCCTGTCTGTTGAACAGCTACAAAGAGCTATTTTCTTAGTAAATCAGCCTGCAAGAAAAATTGTTTTTGTTTTCCTACCAAGAGTAAACTTTACTCTCCAGACTTACACTGGGCCAAGACCCAGGACAAGACCTGCTGTCTTCCAGCTTCCGTCTGTAATGTTCCTTGTCTTTTGAAATGCAAAACGTGCACTTCTTTTGACCTTTAATTATTTCCTGAATCAACAATGCATGGTCTAGAACCTCCTTGAATTCAGATAACATTCGTATATGCTGCATGTAATGATGGGTTATGTTATATTTGACTTAGCTATACTTTTTTTTTTTTAAGTGGCTTTGGATTTATTTGTAAAACAGCCCTTTCACGAAGCATCCTTCCAGACAAGCAAAAACTGAGAATTATAGACAGCAGCTGACTTTTTTAAACTTGCCTGTCAAGCTGAATTTTAAGATGAATTAAGAATTTGGAATGTCCCAGAAAAGGTGCCAACTTTGAAAACTCTGTTCTGCAAGTAAGGCTGTCGTTTTCAGCAGTGTATTTCCCTTAATTTCACTGAAGTTGTTTTGTTTGAAAAAGTTGGGTGAGTGAGAGAGAGTTGTACTTGTGTTTATACATGTCTGTATCTAGCAGCCTATTTCTGAGTCCTCGTCTTGTGTAAATAACTAATTACTGAATGCTTAGTTGTGTGTCTGTGTCCCCTGGGTTGGTCTTGCATTTTTCAGCAGTCAAAGGCTCAGTGCAACCCTTGAGACTTTGAATATATCTGCTCTGCTTCTTGTTCTTGCTCAGGAGAAGAGATCAGTCTTGGTTGTCTTCTGGATCCTGGCCTTTCTCACCGGAAACACCTTCTACTTGCTTTATACATTCAGCTCACAGCAACTGTACAACAGGTGGGCAAAATTTACGTTGTATATGATGGAAGCAGGTGATAATTGGTAGTGAGGAAAAGAGGAAGACCGGCTTTTCTCACTCTTTGGGAAGAAATGTGCATTCTTAGGATATCTGGCATCTTTGTTACAACTCTGCAATATCTTTGAATGGAGGAAAAGTACTAGGGTTCACTTCTACCAATGGACTATGCTCCTATCAATAAATGACGTAACCGGAGTCTAAGTGGGCCAGGTTATGCTAATATGCCACGGTGTTGCTTCTTGAAACATGTACGCTTGCAATTTTCATGTATATCAAAGGAGGATGGATAGTTTTTCACGATGGGACGTGCAAATTTCCATTCTGACTGCTCCGACTGAACATAAAGGGCAAGTGTTGGCAGCGGATTACAAACTGACCCACTGATTCTCCTCTTCCTGTAATGTTTTCTTTTCTCTGCAGTATATCAGGCTTTTAGTCTATTACTGGAGATAAACTGGAGATGATATAGTAGTCTTTTACTTCAGTGTTGTCAGGGCTTGGAGGCATTTGAATCTGGGATAATTAATCTCCACTTGAAAATTCAAATTAGGCCTGCTCTCAAGTATAGAAAAGTTCGTATTCATGGATTTGGTTCAGTACTATCACTGCTTATTGTAAAGGAGGGATTAAGTAACAAACAGGAAGCTAAGAAACAGACCTTAAACAAGGGGATGTCATTAAAATGAACAGGATGAAATGGAGTAATATCAAACTTAGTTGTTTAAGAAAGTAGTTGTGATACTAATATTTAATAACATATGAACTGTCTTCCCAATGAAAATTGTATTTGTGCCGTTGAAGGGGACTTGGAACTTGAGACTGAAAATATTTCCTGGAAAAATACAACACATGTAACATGCCTCAGTTGAGCTGTGCCTAGATGTCTCCCAGGTGTTTTTTTTCTGTCTGTAGATGATATCATTGCTTTCCAGCCTCTTCCCACCAGTACTGTCTGTACAGTGCAAGAGTCAAGGTCTGCTCACAACCCTGGTACCCACTGCGTCTAATGCAGTTGGTTGTGGTCATTTGAAAGCTGTATGTCAAGCTGCTTCTATAAAGGCAGAGAGTAGCATTTCTATTTTTCTACTACCCCTTCACCTCTAAATTATTTTAGTTTGAAAAAATAAAAAGGTCTGGTTCTGAGATGAGAAGGCTTGTACCTGTGGATCAGAATGAGAGATGGTGAGCTCTGCAACGCTCTGGAAAGGGTTTGTGGGAGGGAGTGAAAGAGAAGAAACAGGTATGGGGGAAGCGTTTTAAGGCATTAAGAAGAAATTTTCTTGCACCACAGGGAAGGAGCGGGGCTCTAGAAAGCAAGAGTGAGATGTCGGGAGGCTCATAAGGTTAAGCATATGGATGGGAACAGTTTAAAATAAAAGATAGGTCATCTAAAATAAAAGGGTTTCAGCAAGTTGAGGCCATCTCGCAAACTGCTTAGGGGGTGGTTTATTTACAGTCAACAGCAATGGCTTCACTGAAAAGCCCAGTTCCTGCAAGTGGTTCAGTAGTGCCCGCCATGTTGTGGTTGGGCTCCTGGATCCAGGGCTTGCTGTGTTGGGACCTGCACCCAATTCACCAGGCAAGCCTGTGAAGTTAAAAACAGCTATTTAATTTTTGTTTCTTTCTGGTTTATTTTTCATTTCCTGATTTATTTATTTTTTGCTTGTTTCTAGCCCACGAATAGTAGTAAAGTCTCTGATTCTGTTTCTGTTTTTAGGGTTTAATTTTACCTGTTGTGCTGTGCCAGTGTTGTGAGTATTTTAATTCATGCTCAGGCTTTTTGTTCTGGGTTGGTTATTTTACTTTTTTTTTTTTAATTAAGCTTTTGTTTTTTTTACCATGAGGCTTTATTAGGCAAATATTCTAAACAGAAGTCCCTTTTTTCTGGTCTGAGTAGGGTCCTGACCTCATTGCCGCTCAGGTCAGTAGCTCCGGCCCGTTGCTATATGAAATTCTGGTATCCTGGACTCTCCTTTAAGGAGCAAATACTAAGTTCAGTGTCCAGCCTCAGTTGTTGGAGGAGAGGAAAACATTATTCTGCGGCTATTCTTTGAGCTGGTGTTGGCTTACTCGCCCCAGCTCTGTTCCAGCTGGAGATGCTGGGTGATGAGTACAGTATTTCTGCAGTAATAGAGAGTCTGGCCCGTCCTCAGTTCCAGTCGACAGCATTATGTAGAGGGAACTATCTTTCTGGAGCTTTGGTTCAGGTAAGAGATGCTAACTAACACAGCCCAGCTCTTGGTCTACTTCAGTAGACCAAGACACTGTCAGGGCACAACACTCTCCTGAAGCCCTTACCTTTTTGCCCTGCCTGTTACTGGGTTTCCTTTGTCACCCGCTTGTTTCACGTGCACAATAGCTTAGAGTTGTAGAGACTGCTGCTCCTGGAGCAGTTCTGCCTGTGGCAAGCCAGCCTCTGTGGTGCAAGAGCAGTCTGCCGAACATGGTGGTTGTGAGTTGACCATGACTTCTCTGTCCAAGGAATCACAACTACTGATGACAGGGGCTTCACGGGAGAAGGTGTATCGGGTCATTCCCTGGCTGTTAAGATAGAAAGATGCAAGTGGGTGGGCTTTCATAATCGGGTCTGAAAGAGCAAAGGCTATGGACTAAAGGCACTGCCGTTAGACCAGAAATTCTTTTACAGTGTGGATTGCAAGGCTTAACTTTCATAACAGACTTTGTACAAGTTTGGGTCCGATTCTCTGATAATGGGCAAACCTGCTGGCCTTGGTAGAAATGTGCAAGAAGAGACAAAGTCAAGAGGGCTAGAGGAAACATGGGGCTAGTCTGCATGTCTTACTCCTGTTACCCTTGAGAACTTGTGCTCAGGTTCAGTGGAGTTCCTAGCGCTTCTCCAGCTAGCAGTGGACAGAGCTAGTGTGAAGAAGCCTATGTGAGGTTGATACTACCTTGCTGATATGTGAGCCTTGCTGTCATGCCTTTCAGCCTTATATTTCTGAAACCCAACCTTGAGAGGCTGGACTTTTTTGACCTGATGTGGATTGTGGGGATCACGGACTTTGTACTGAAGTATCTCACCATCGCACTGAAATGCCTAATAGTTGCCCTGCCTAAGATCATTCTAGCTGTCAAATCAAAGGTAAGAGGCTCTTTTCTTCTTGATTTTTGTCTGTTGGGATCCGTCTGTTGAAATTGTACTTCCTAGTTGATTACAGACGCTCGCTAATCCTTGCCACGGTGTGCCTAGTAGAAGACAAGCCTCCGCACATCTTGCATGATGTGTAAGGTCCAGACAAATGGATATTTGCAGCTCTCTGTAAGAGGAAAGAGAGGAGGAGGACTTATAAATAACTGCAAAGGAAGAGCATGAAGCAGCCTCTGCTACTGTGGGCTAGGGTCAGTTTGTGTAATCTTGCTGAGGCTGAACAAGTTTTCTATTGCATTTCAATCCAACGAACAGTGGAATAAAAGAAATCATACGCTTTGCTAATGTAATTATCCACCAGATATACGCCTATGGATGTTGTCTTTAATAATCTTATACCTTTACTACATGTGTACAGCATGAAATACGGGTGAAAGTAGAAAAATAAGAAAATCTCTGATAAGACTTTGACAGAAAATCACCTTGTTCTTTTGTTTTTTGAGCAATCAGAGACCTGAGCAAGGGTTTGGTAATGCAGACAAGTGATTGAAGTCAGGAGAGAGCATGAGGTAAGCGTTGCATGGGAAGGAATAGGTGCTAGCGGCAAGATGACTGCTTTTTTGGCTGGCTTTGTTCTGAGTCCTGTTTTCTGAGCGATCTTTGTAAATAGATATTTGTGAAGCACAGTGTCCTCCTTTTAACGGAAAGAAATTGCAAGTACTCATCTCTCTGGCTTGCTTCTTGGGTCCAAGAATAATAACAGTGTTAAACTGGAGCTATTGAGGACACACAAGATGACACCAGTTCTAACCATGCTTGAAGAAACATTTTAACTGAACAGTTAAAATACTTAAATATGTACAAAATTATATGTAGACCAGGCCTGATTTAGAAACTTTGTCACTACCTTTTCTCTCTTGAATTATCTTCTCATATTTCTGTTCACTCTTACAGACCTGTCATGCTGCTCCACTTAGTAGTATCAGCATTTCAGTGGCAAACGTGGCAAAGTATATTATTTGCATTTGGTAAAGAAACTTTCTGGCAGCTGTTGGGAGGAAAGGCACTATATAAATGCAAGATAATATCATTAATTGCTGAAAGTCTCAGGCAGGGCACTTAAGGGGATATCTAAACTGGGAATAGTTTTGCTTACAAATGACATGGGTGGCAGGGGAGTTGAGCAGTTTGTCCCTGCACAGCAGGGCTATTTGAGATGGTTATTAATTTATTTCTGGCGATTGTCCAGATCCTTTTTTTTTCCTCCTTCTTCTTCTATTATTATTATTTTATTTTGGGAGATTAATGTGCTAGGTCAGAGCATAATCCAGCCTGGGGAGGGAGGTAAAGTGATGTGAATAGTCTTCCCAAGATAAATTGCGGAGCTGGAAAAGGTTCACAGCCTTTGCTTGCATGTCTGAGAGCTATCCCAAGTACTCATTAATCCTTGTCGGGAGAGAAGAAAGAGACGGGGTCTTTATTTGCAGCTACAGTGGGAGGCTGGTAAGATCACATCTGTCAAGGGCCTATAATGACTCAGAGCACAGATGCTTCATTTTTAATACCTTTTTCTGGATAGCAATATTTCTCACTTTTTTTTTTTTAAGTCCCTTTTTTGTCTTAGGTTGTTGTTGATGGTCTCACTGTCCCTTGACATCTGAGACTGCTGTTACCTACCGTTAGGGGTCTGGATTTATTTTTTTATCCCACTCTCTGCACTGCATCCATTAATCCAACGAGGGATGAGATCTGATGTAACAAATTAAGCAAGATCAAACTGGGATGGGAGAACTCCAAGAAAACCCCAGGATGCCGCTGGAATTGTAATTGGTAACCCTGTAGCTGAGCTCTTTCCAAAAGCCTGATGACCCAGCTTACTTCTACAGACCAGCACAATGCTGCACATCTTATTTATCAAAGGAGTTTTAAACATAAGCTTTTCCTTAGTCAAAACAATTCTATTGCACTTTAGACACATTAACTGTGACCAAATTCTGATCGAGATATTTGCCATCTGCTGTCTTAATGTTCACCAGGCAAAAAGTTATTCTCTTCCTCCCCAAACGTTAAAAACATGGTGTTGATGCTTGATGCCTAGCCTGCATTTTGTGAGCTTCTGGATGGCTGCAGCGTAACGGTGGCATGTAGCAAGCTGCTGGAGAAACATAGACTAAACTCGCAGGGTAGAGCTAGAGGATTTTTTAGGGGAAACAACGTTTATTGAGGATTTTTCTGCTGATATAACAAGACAGAGCAGCAGCCTATACTTCCCCATTATCCAGGACCTGAAGTAGAGAGTGCTGCACTGTCAGGGAAGGAGTTCAGCACGGCTGTGAATGGAATAGAGGTACTTTATGTTGAGCTTCCTTGCAGTATCTTCTTGCTGGCAGTTAGTAGTGGACAGCGGAACTTGCCCATGGATGGGGTCTCAGGGCCTGCGATAGTTCTGCACTCAGCTTTTGAGCAGTCTCTTCAGATTTTCCTTGTTTCGGAGGTTCCAAAGCTAGTCTGGCTTTTCATGCTGCTCCTTGAGATTCTTCTAGTCTTCTCCGCGTATTATGTGGTTTTTATTAACGCTTTCGTAGTTTTTCCAGTGCGAGGCATCTTCTCTGAATGTCCTTCAATTTAAGTCTCTTACCTGTCCATATTGTGATTAGAGCAAAATCAGATTCTCTTCTTTCTCTTTTATACATCAAAGACAGTCTTCACAACCCCTCTCACTCTTCTTTGTAGACTGAACAACCCCTGTTTGTTTTATTCTTTTCTCAGAGATCATTCTTTCCAGGTCTTTAGTCATTTTTATAGTTCTCTTCTGGACTGTCTTTAATTTCTTTCAATACCTGGAACAATAATCCTACAGAGGTCTCATTGATGTCGGAGAGAGTGGAATGGCTACGTCACAGGCCCTGCGTATGAATACCGTTGCTTCTTGCATTCCTGCATTTGTCTTTTTTTGCAAGAGCATATTGTTGTGTCATGTCCAAACTGCCATCTTTTATAATCCTTCAGTCTTTTTCCTGCAAATGTACTGCCTAATCTGCTGCCTTGCTTCTTATTCTATTTGCACAATTAATTATTCGTGCCTCTATGTATTAAAAAAAATGCTTCATTTTTCTTTAATGAATTGCACCCGTGTGTTTTCCAGACCATTTCTCCAGGCTGTCAAGATCGTTTTGGATTATAATCCTTCCCTTCAGCATGTTTACAGCCCTTCTCACTTTAATGTCAACTGCACGTTTGATAAGCATACTCTGTTCCATTATCAAGGTCATTATTGAAAATAGTATACAGCACCAAACCCTGCTTAGCTGAGTTAGATGCATCTTTTCATTTTAACAGTGAACAGATGAAAAATGTGGGCTAGAGCACTCAGTTCTCCCAGTCTGAGGTACCTGGGTCATGTATTTTTAGTATGGCCATGTCACAGGAAGGGCAGTGTTTGGTTTAAGATGACGTCAAGAACTGTCTGGGATCCAGTGTGATTTTAGAAGAAAAAACTGAAGTGGCAACTCGTGAGATTTATTAAAGCATGAATTGATGCTATATCTGAGAAAAGCAAGCTAACATTAAAGAGCAGAAAAAGAGGTTTATCTTTGCAATCTAAACTCGGAGAGCAGGAAACATCATTTCAGGCCCAGAGGTGGTTGACAGAAACCAAAATGATAGTCAGTGCTTGAAGTGTGAAGCATGAAGACTGCGAGGCTGCATGTGTCATCTGGATACAACTAGCCAGAGCTCTGCAAGCTTGAATGCCTCAGAAGTGAAATATCCCTGTCAGCAACCCCTCCAAAAAATGAGGGGAGAATGCAAATTTGACAAAATGATCCCAGACTTTCCCAAGTTCCAAACCAGCTTGGAAACTGGGGATGCCGTGGGAGGCTGTGAAACTCTACAACAGGTTGGAAGGGAGGTAAAGAAGGAAGAGCTAGTGAATGGGGGAGTGACTTTTAAAGCAGCAGAAAAGGAAAGGTAGTCCCAACATCAGGGTCCAGTCTCGTAACTCTGCAGTCAGTGGGAGTGTGTGGGAGAAGGAGCAGACCTGCAGCTAAAGACATCCCTTCCTCCTCCAGCTAGAAGGCTAGTATGAGCTGTGATGACTTGTGCCCAAAGCTGAGTACAAGTTTTAATAGCAGCTGGCCTCATAATTTCCTTGGGAAGGGGGGGCTTGGCTCCCACCCTGCATGCTTGAGGCCTCTCCATTAAAAAAGGCAAATAAGATCATTTGGTTCAATATAAAATGAATTAAAGTAAATTACACTGCAGGAGCCATGTGGCCTGCAGAGGCTTCCATTGTTGTACACACATAAATGGCAGCTTTTCATTTTCAGTGCTAAGGAATGACAGCTTGAGGTGGGTGGAATTAAAAATAAGGAAATAAATAATAAAAAGACACAGTTGCCAAAGATTTCTGTTTAGGAAATCCCAGGTGCCTGCAAGTCTCCCATCCCCTCCTCATGCTGCTGTCAGCAATCTCAGCTGACATCCTGGGGAATGGAGTGAAAGATGGGGGATGGGGGAGAGAGGAAGAAAACTGAAAGGAGAGACCAATGCAAGAACCCAGCGGGTATAGGGGAGAGAGACAGGTACTAGGGACACACTTTTGTCTAAGGGTCCTAATTTCTGGTGCATTTAAAAAAAAAAAAAAAAAGCCCTGAGTAAGATTTTTCTTTGCATGCTGTTGATACAAGGGTACATCAAAGTTACAAGAGCACCAGGGAACCTAGAAGCTCCATTTCAAGGAGAAGGTTGACAATTCAAAGGGAAAACACGTAACACCTGTTTGTTTTAAAAGCATAATGTGAAATTACTATTTGAATAAATGCTTGTAACTTTTTTGGAAAGCTGGATCTAGACATTGCACATTAATTTACTAGTCTACAGTGATGCTGACCATGCATGAAGTTTTTCCCTTGTGCTGTGCAAATGGTGTCAGTGGCAAGTGTACATCAAACCCTGGTACTGTGGACTCCTCACTGTGTTAATCCATGAAAATG